GCTTTTAATTGAAATAATACTAGCTGTGGGTCCGATGGCAATTTTATATATATTTTAATTGTATTTTAAATGTTGAATTTTTATTGTATTTTAAATGTTGTAAGCCGCCCAGAGACCTTTGGGTAGTGTGGGCAGCATATAAATCAAACAAACAAACAAACAAACAAACAAACAAACAAACAAACAAATATTATTATTATTATTATTATATTAAATTGCCATATTGGAGCCATCTTGAGAAACTAAACAAAGTACTGTATTTCTCTTGAAAGTAAAGCTTACTGTGATGAGTCTAGATTCTTAGAAATGTCACCCAATAGGGGAAGAAGGATCAAAGCTAAACACACTAGACTAAGCTGTGTTTATCCTCTTCAGAAATCAACATCTGAGTCATCAGAATTGACAGTTCTAACAGCAATGAATGCAGCGGAATTAATGAGCAGGAACAGTAGCAGAAGATGATACCGATGGAGGATCTTCCATAGACCATGGTAGTGACATTCAAGTTAACTCTTCTTAATATCAAGCAAACACAATGATAAGCCATTTCTAAACATTTTATGCCTTGAGAACTCTATGATGACACAACCCAAAATTAAATAAGAGATAGCACCAGAAGATGAGAGTCCCAGATTGGAAGGTGTAGAATAGGCTAATGGAGAAGAGCAAGGGTGAGTATAAATAGCACTATTCTTAATTGTGCAAGTGAGCTAAAGCAAAAAGGACATCTAGCTGCTGATGTGCATGGAAGCAAAATGAATGTCTGAGGCTCCATTATGTATATAGTTGCAACATAAGATGTGAGAAGAATGAGTCAAGGTAACCTTGAAATCATGAAACAAAAGATAGAAAATTCAAATATTTTAATACTGGGCACGAGTGAGCAAATGTGGACTGGAATAAGACAATTTGAATTAGATAACTGCAATGTTATTTGCTCAGACAATGGTAAACACAGAATAAATAGGATAGCTCTAATAACTGAGGAAAGATGTAGAACAATAAATTAGATGGTATAATGTAAAGTCTGACGGAATATAGCATCAATTAGTCTTTCTGGAAAACCTACAACAACCATGTTGTTGTTTCAAGTCTATGTTTCAACTACATTTGCTGAAGATGAAACTGAATGCTTTTATGCATGTGTCCAGGAGGATAAATGGGTCACTCACCAAAACAGGAAGTGCTAATAATAACAGGTGAGTAGAACACAAAGGTAAGAAATAAAACAGAATCAAACACTGGTGGAGAATTACAAAAGCACAAAACCCAAAATACACTGTCATTGTGTTCTCCTTACATTTCTATTCCATAGATTAAAACTGGCCAACATCAGTTACAGTAATAATTACATGCCACTGAATTGATTGTGACTCATGGTGACCCTTGCCAGAGTATACTAAGTATAGGGTACTCAGGACCAATTCCTTCTTCTGGTGTTGCTACACAGCCTGGATATAAATCAATGTTCAAAGCTTAACAAACTAGTTTTTAGAATTTAGCAATTGATCCTGCAGCACTTTCACTCCGGATAGGCAAAGAGTGGCCGAGATGCCCTATCTGTTGAGAAATGTAATTATTCTCCTACTTCCTGCAAAGGAGAATTCCTAGTCTACTGGACTGACAAAGAACACTGGAGCTGCTTGTTCCCTAAGTTCAAACCCACAAACTATTCTTTCAGAAACATCAAACAGATTTTGAAATCATGAGATCTGAAAGCATAATATATGTAGGCTGCTCAACACATCTTCCTTTTTCCTTTTCAGTTTTGTGGCTGTGGGGTACTCTGCTGTCACGCTTTCCCATTTTCTATACAATAAAGACGGTTCAGAGAAATGCATTTAAAATGATTTTTTTTTAAAAAAAAGATATCTAGGATTCTTCTAACAGCAGCCCTTAAGCACCACATACCCCTTTCTTCCCTCTGCACTACACTATCTGATATGATTAATTCATTGACTGCCTGAAAAGGCTTTCAGTTAAACAAGTACGTAACTGAACTCTGAACTCTGCTTTTACTGACTACGAGGAAATTTCACTCATCAGAAACTGAGCCCAATGAGTAAAACTAGAATTTTCAAGTTGGTGCATGAAATAAATGGTTCATTCTGATTTTTGTTTTTGTTTTTGGTCTTTTCTACACTTAATAACTCTTTATCTAAATTTAAAGTTGCCAACAGATTTTGACTAAAGCAAAATGTCAGGGTGAATACAGACATTCTTTCCTGCTTATGCTAAAAATCTAAGGAATTACAAGGAACTAAATTATAAGAAGGCTGGTGATATTTCTTGGGGCACATCTCCAGCTCACATACTTACTGTAATAGAGTGTAATTTAAGAAATGACACCAAGCTCCTTTGTACTTTAAGGTATATTAGCAACAGGTTTTTCCACCTGCCCAGGAAATGATGAAGTCTCATGCCAAACCCCAAGGAGATGCAACCGCTTTTGAGTTCTGCCTTCACGTCTGCTGATATGTGATACATGACTGGATGTTGCTAGAGTTGTCAGATCTACTGGGTAGGGGCAGCACTCTGGCAATAGATCTTAGACAGACATTTCCTATTCAGTTCACACAACATGCTACTCAGAGCTCGGAAGCAGCATGTTATGAGTAATACTGTGGCCTCATGGTTGGCGCAGGGGAGATGCCTCGCCCTGAAAAAACAATGCTACTAGTAACATTACTTTCTGGGATTAAGAAGATGTTTCAACGTCATTCTTAAACACAACATAAAGACTGGCAACAGTTTTTAATGTAATGATTAATATACTGATTATTCTGAAAATGACACCTGGGGATTTTTTTTTTGGTTATTTTGTATTTTTATGTGTACTTTCTTTTAAATAAAAGTAATTAAAAATGCTAATGCATTAGCATCTGTCTGAAAGGCATTAATGAGTTATTAAATACAAAAAATAATAAGTGTATCTGGGGACCCCAGATTGGGAACCACTGGCTATCTACGTAGAGAATATTCAAAAGTGCAACCATATTCAAAATACATTTTTAAAAATGCTTTGATTTGTGAATCATCAAAGCCAATGGATAATGAAGACCCAAACTTCACATTACTCTGAAAGCTAAAATGAGGTCACTTCACGCTGGAATTTACCCATATCTCATTTATCAGGTATCCTTACTCAAAAGATCACTAAAGCTCTGTCTAGTGTGACACGAAGATAGAATTACCAAGAAAACTAAGCCCAACTGGAGATTCCTATGGACTGATAGGCTAGACAGTTGCTTGTACTTCTAGCAGTCGGCGAAAGATTTGTGTGCGTGTTTTTTTTAAAAAACAGTGTTTTTGTTTCATATCCTCTTATCTCAAACCCAGAAAATCTGGGCTTGAGTTACTGAGTTAACAGATGGGACTGTCCCAATCTGTATAGTGGCATTTAATTCTGTTTGGAGATCAGCATGAATTAAGTCATGCCGCATTGTACGACTTGTGCCGCGTGGCACCACAGCGGCCAGATTCCCTCCAACCACCTTCTGGCCCTACTGACACCAGCTTCCATGTGCCGACCGGGTCATCCTCCATCATCAGTGGCCCAGTCTGGGCAAGAGTCCGTCCGGGCCGCCCTTCCCCACCTCTTCCTCCAGTAGATCACTCAGGCAAGAAGGGAAAAGGAGTCCCCCTGCACAGCCATGGACTGGGCAGCCGGTGACACAGACGACTTGGGTGGTGCACAGAGGCTTGTGAGTGGGGCAGCCGGCTAGGCGGTGGTTGGAGGCAATGTGCGACAGCTGTGGCGCCACACAGCGCAAGTCGTACGATGTGGCATGACTTAACTCATGTCCATCTTTAATTCTGTTCATACACTACAGTGAGAACAATCTGCAGTCTAGAGAGCTTGCTGACACCCCCCAGCTGGTAAGCAACATTCCCTCTAGGTTTCTGTCCTGCTGCATGAGAGTCTTGCTCCATGTGCGTGGGGGTGGGTGGGGGTTCATTCAAAATGGGAAGTAAACAAATCAGCTGCTTGTGTGCAACCCCAACGAAGCTCTGGACAGGCGCACATGTGCGCAGCTTGGAGGAAACATTGCTGCTAAGAGATTATGCAAACTATAACCCTACAATTACATCCTCCCAAGGATGCTGGCTGGACAGTGCTTTCGGACCCAAGAGTCAGACTGACAATATGCCTGGAGGGAATTTGCCTGAATCTTGTGCGTGTTATGTGCTGTCAGGCTGGAAACAGCTTACAGAGACTTTAATAGAGCTTTCAAGGTAAGTGAGATATTTAAGGAGTAGTTTTACCAGTTCTGCCCCATTCCCAGTGAATTTCCATAGCCAAGTAAGGATTCAAACCCAGGTCTCCTAGTCTGATCTTTATGCAGAACACCACACAGGGTATGCCTGAATTTTACAGGCAGCAATGTCAGCCCGTTCTGATGCCAAGAGGAGGGGATGTGGACAGTTGCTTGTGCCATTCTGAGCAGAAGAGGGTCTCAGGAAATCCAAGATATCATGGGATAAAGATGCAAAAGTTTTGGAAGACTATAAACATTTGACCCTTTTTAGGTTACTCTAAGGGATATGGTGGCAGTGGGTGTTAAACCAGTGGTCCCCAACCTCGGGCCTCCAGATGCTCTTGGACTACAACTCCCAGAAGCTTTCACCACCACCTTTGCTGGCCACAATTCCAAGAACATCTGGAGGCCCAAGGTTGGGGACCACTGGGTTAAACCACTACATCTCTGGGCAGGACCACCCCACCCTAGTGTTCTACATTGCATCTTTCATGTTACAACTGCAAAAGTAGCCTAGTTACTTTGTTTGAAAAATCATGAGTCATATCATGAATTATCTTTCAGCTGAGCTGTATTTGATGAGAGGCTTTCTTAACCTTTTCAACAGGAAAAAGAGGAAAGTGTTGTGTCATCCATTCATTGCAGTCCTAGCAAACCTCCATGCTTTTCCGATGATTCATAAAATTGAAGAGGATGCTATAAATAAATAAATAAATAAATAAATCATCACTGCGAGGAGGGGGGCAATGATAACTTCCTCAATGGCTCAAGGGGGCGTTTCTTTCAAAAAGGTTAAGAACCACTGGGTTAAACCACAGAAGCCTCTGTGCTGCAGGGTCAGAAGACCAGCAGTTGTAAGATTGAATCCACGCGACGGAGTGAGCTCCCGTCACTTGTCTCAGCTCCTGCCAACCTAGCAGTTCGAAAGCATGTAAATGCGAGTAGATAAAATAGGTACACTTCGGTGGGAAGGTAACGGTGTTCCGTGTCTAGTTGTGCTGGTCACGTGACCACGGAAACTGTCTTCAGACAAAACGCTGGCTCTACAGCTTGGAAACGGAGATGAGCACTGCGTCCTAGAGTCGGACACGACTGGATTAAATGTCAAAGGGAACCTTTACCTTTACGATTAGGTTACTTTAAAATCACAGGGGTTTGCCCACTAACATACAGGAACAGATCCTGAAAACGCACATGTGTTTCCTATGTTACTGAGGAGCACAAGAATTCCAGGCCACTGACTTCAGAATCATCATTTGCATGTTCAAAAACTACCAGAACCAAATTTATAGGAGTCTTGCCGTAACAAATACCAGAGCTGCTCAGAGGCAAATGCAAATTTTACAACGGAAGCAGCTTTGTAAAATGCACCACACCCCTCATTAATCATTACCTGTGGGTTATCTGCATTCAGGTTCGCATCTGCCCACACGTCAGAGACATCAGAATTTATCATTGTTGGTTTAACAGCAATTGTTGGCTTTGAGTAGAGCAAGGAAATTACTCCTTCATCTTCCAGAGGCGTACTCTCCACTTTGGCTCCGCTTCCATTCAGATCTTGTAGGAATCCACGGCTACCTCCCAGGTCAAGGGGTGGTGTCTGCAGTTGATGGAAGTTTCTGGGGCAGAAGCAGTTTTTGCAGGAGCCAGGCTTCCAGACGTGTTCCACAAATTCATTGCACGCAGACATTTTCAGGCCCTCTTGCTTCACTTCGACTGCCCTTTGCATCTTGTATACTGAGCTTTGCTGTTCATTTTGTACTGCTCCACTTTAAGGCTGCTTTCAAAAATTTCAGGCCTCCTCTAATCAAGATATCTAGGCAGAAAGAACACAACATGGTTATTAATTATGTCCTCCTTTTCTAATGCCCACCTCCAACTTCCAAAGTTATTGTACTTTATGGGTCCTCATCCCCGAATTAAAACAACTAGCCACAAAAAGTAAGTCAGCTCGATTTACATATGCAGGTTGTGTATCACTTTTTTCTCCACAGCCAAGAGAAACTACATAAAGAACAGATGACAATCTGCAAACTCTTATGTGTACAGTTTGGAAATGTTACTCCTTTGGACTGCAACTCCCAGAACCCTCAACCAGCACGGCACAGAAAGTAACATTCTCAAGCTGTGCCCATGTAAATGTGCCAGGAATCTCCAGAACATTCTACCCATGGCCTATGTCCGGATGTTTAAAGACGCATTTGTGGTGCCCTAGGCCAACACCAACCGATCTAGTTGCTCTAGGCATGGACCCAAACTACGGGAACAGAGCAATTCAAACAAACAAATTTATGGTCATTGTAAGTACAGTGGTGCCTCGCATAGCGAACGCTTCGCTATGCGATGAATCCGCACAACGATGGGTCCCGGGCCATCACTGGAGCGTTCGCTCAGCGATGCCCCCTATGGGCTTTTTTCGCTATGCGATGATCGCGCGGACGAAACAAATTTATGGTCATTGTAAGTATATACATGGTATACACATACAACAAAATTCACACAGACACCCAGAGACCAGACCTACATGCACACACATAAAAAAATCTCCAAACACTCCCCACCCACTAAAAATTCCTTCTTCTGTTTGCTGTTTGTGGAGTTCCTACTCAGACTTTTAAAAAAAGGTAGAGGTGAACAGGGGACGGGGGAAGACTCCATTGCTGCTTGTCTTTATATAGTAGGCCAGTGGTGCCCAACCTTGGGCCTCCAAATGTTCTTAGACTACAACTCCCAGAAGCCTTCGCCACCACCTCTTCTGTCCAGAAGTCTTTAGAATGTCCCACAAGCATCCAAACCTGCAATTTGAGAAATGAGGCCTTACAAGTTGACTGCATCAAAAATTTCCTTTGCTTACTATCCTTTTTCACAAAACATGTACTATTTGGTGCAATATATATATATAAAAAACACAACCCATTTCAGTCCTTAAGAACTGAAGCAGGAGAAGTTTAAGCCCATGCTCTTGTACTCTCAGTTAAGTCACGGATTCTACCATTTCTGTCACACTCTTAAGAGGTCTGAGGGCCACACCCCACCCACCACGAGGCCTCTCCTTGCAACTCACCCATTTCTAAATTAATTTCTTTCTAGTTTTTGAAAACCAGGAAAGTCTCCTTACGCCTCCTACTGACTAAAGAAAGTTTTATAACCTTTACTAAAAAAGATTATAGGGGGGCAAGCAGGGGCAAAAGACACCCTGTAAAATATGGCAAAATTGCCTCCCACACCCCTTAGTGGGCACAAGAAGGCTTTTAAAAGCTATTTTTTCCGGGGGGCGGTGGCAGTAGAAATCTGGAGGGATGTGGGGCTGCAGGGGAGTTGGATTTTGCCCTCTGAAGAGGATATATGCAGGCTACACTTTGCTGATCTCTGGGCACTAGAGCAGAATCCTGAAATATTAAGAAAGAGAACCAAGGATAGGTCCATGCAGAATCTGTAGAAAAGGACAGGTTTGACTATCATTGTATCCTTCTTGCAAGAACAAGCTGAGGCCCTTGTTCAAGTGTGTCTCTCTTCCTGTCTTTTCTCTCACTCTGTGAAGACCGAAATCTTCCACTTTGTAACTTAAAATAACCTCAGCCTCCCACAACATCCAAACACAGGAACTGTGATTTATTTCAAGTTAAGCTATGTCTAAGCAGAAACAAGCCAGGATCAAACCATGGTTTCAGAGAGTCCCCTGAACATAGACATCTCAGGAAGTGGGGTCTACTTTAAACCTAACATCTTGTGGGTGTGAAAGTGGAAGAAGCGTGGAAGCCTATTGCTCACTATAGCTCATTCTCAGAGCAGAACATCATGGTTTCCAGTTACATTTGGACTAAGGCAACAGAACCCTTAAATTTTAGGCTCCTATTTTTGCATTCTCAAACTCAGAAGCAAATCACAAGCATGAGATTCTTCCCCCTTCAGAATTACATGCAAGTAAATGTTCAGAATTGAACATGTGAACAGTTCAAATGTACATGCATGCTTTAGTTAACAAAGGTATGCACAAGAAACACATATGTTAAGAAGGAGAGGTATATGCCAGAACTGGTGAAAATTTCCATGTAGGGAGTGAAAGAACCCAAAATCAAATTTAGATGGGACGAATATGACATTGGGGTTGACTGAGGAATAGCACGATTACGAAACTGACCAATTTTGACATTCCTGCTCCATACACACATATATATCTGCCTCAACATAATGCTGGGTACATCATCAATAACATAAATTCAACACTCAAACAGCCTTGAACTGCAGGGATGTAGTCTTTCATCTAATGAAATTTATGGCAAAGCTATCCTTTAGTTTTCTGGATGCAAGACCACTGCGTTTATTTAGAAACATGCTAATAATAACATTGATGAAAACAAGTAAAATACCAGTGGGGTTGGTAGCTTGGCAGCTAGTCATCTTATTTATTTTATTTTATTTTTTAAAAAATATTTATCTCCCAACAGTATTTATCTCTTCAGCAGTTAAGGACCCAAAGTCTGAAACCACACAGGAAGGCCACTAAAATATTTTGTATGTATTTCCCTAACAGATCTCCAAAACCAAACAAGAAATGCTCAAACAGGCAGAACATGCTATTTAAACTTCACATATAATAAGATTCAAGAAAATTCTTTTAAAACAAAACACAAAGAAAGGTAAATTCAAAGGGAACGGGGCAGGGGGAACCAAGAAAAATAAATGCAATCTATTTGCTCTATCAACATGGCAAATGTTCTTTTAATAGAACGTATTTTCACTATAAATCTTAAAAGTTATAATACCCAGGAAATCCATTTTTCCCCATGGAGACATTGACTTAACTTCCAAAGACAGAACTCCACCAATACAAGAAATACAGAGCTACTGCCAAAAAAAGCAGCTCTGTGCTCAGCTCAGAGATGAAAGATAAGGTGAACAACTACTGTAATTCCATACATTTAAACCAATACATGATCGAAAACCAGTTAATTTTGCAGTGGAGGGCTCCCATCACAAAATATGTACAGAAATTTTCTATTTTAGGGGAAAGTGTATATATGAATGCATGCTTGTTTCTAAAGATATTTGTAACAGTAATTTGCATTATAGTAACAAAAGACCATTTTGGCTTACCAACATGGTTCTTTTGGTTACAACTGCACACAAAACACAATCAGAACTGTGCAAAAAACATGTGTACAAACATTCATGCAGACCTTCAATGCCAACGTTTGGTATAAACTTAACACTGGAAACGTAAGAATCTGGGAGAAATTGCAACTGACAGAAGTCCGGATCATACGTTACAGAGGCTGACGGTCTGAACATGCTTAGTGGGGAACGTCTAGCCCTGGCTCCCTCTGTGGTTGAGTTCTTCATATGGCTATACAGTACCTGACCCAGAGGAGGAGAGGTTCTTGGTTCGTTCTTCATATGGCTATGCCTGACCCAGAGGAGGAGAGGTTCTTGGTTGTGTGTTGGCTTTCCATGTGAAAATCTGAGTTCATACTCCTGTGGAGGGCCCACATGTGAGTACAAACCTTTCTTCTTCAGACTTGGTGATGATCATGTGAAGAAAGTGGAGATGACAGAGAGGTCGGTGCTAGACACCCCTTCTAAATTGTCTTCAAACTGCCAGGTTCTATAATGCTCAGATGCATCTGTCCTTAGCTGAGTGTACACTCCCTTCAAATCACAGACGGCAGTCACAGAGAAATTTTTCAGCGCAAAGGCATCAGGTTTATGGAGGAGGATCACATAACACAGCTCCTGTTGTTTTTCACTTCCAGTCAAAACAAAGCCAAGATCCAGAAAACCATGCTCGCCTACATCCTACATTATTTACCTCTCTTCCCTTTTGTATTCCTTTCCCTCCTACTTCTCTCACTGTTTCCTCTCCATGATAAAACTCCAGGACGTCTCTTCCTGAAAACTGTTGAGATTTAAGCAGGTGTTTTTTTTATTTCTGCTTTTACTTAGATTAACAGAATTTCAAAGTCAGCAGTTGCTAGGAATATGCTCAAAGCATTCAGATTATCTTTGCATTTCATGTCTTTGACCTTTAACAACAAACACCTAGAACATGCAAGGCCTGTTACCAATCTGGAGATATGTTTCCTATCCAGGGGTGTCCTTCACCAAAAATATTTCATTCTACTACATGATCACACTTTCTTTGCATATATAACAAAAGCAGGAATCAATTGGGTGTCTGAAGAAATAGCTTTTATATGAATCAGCACTTGAGGAATACATGAATCACTGTCAGAAAAGGAGGTCAATTTCTCTATGGGTTAAACCTCCAACAGCAATCACACAGATCATTAATGAGCAATAAGATGCAGATCACGCACATCATCCTTTCTACAACACTAAATCTCTTATTTGCTGTGATGTGCCATCAATTTAACTGGGTAGCTGGCTGTGAAACTAGAGGTTGGGAGTTCAGTTCCCCACCGTGCATCCCAGAAGAGGCAGCCCGTGTGGCCTTCGGCAAGCTGCAGAGTTTCAAGATGCCCCTAGAGGAATGGCAAATCACTTCTGAGTACTGTACTCCCTACCTAGAGAACCCTGAAAAGTCACCCTAAGTCAGAAATGACTTGAAGGCATAGTATTATTATTAAAGTGACCCCAGTAGGGTTTTGGAGGTGTTGTTCAAGGAGTGGTTTCCCACTGCCACCTCAGCAGGCTTCCATGGGTAAGGAGGGATTTGAACCCAGGTCTCCAGAGTTTGCCACCTCAGCAGGCTTCCGTGGGTAAAGAGGGATTTGAACCCAGATCTCCACAGTCTTAGTCCAAGACTCTATCCACCACACCACACCACACTGCCCTCATAAATCTTTGACATTCAGA